CGAACGAATCGTTTGAGAATCGCTGGAAAATTAGGTGATATTAAATGCATATTTTGAGAAAACTAAAGCGTTTTTTTACCATGCGTGATTGTAATCCTATTGTAGGAGACTCCCAAAACAATATTAGGAACCGTAAAAATGGCATAATAGGGGCACTTTAAGAAAACTGTTTTTGGACAATCAGCTTTTTCAGTTAGAGCAGCAGAAAGATGGAATTTAATACCTGTTTATATTAGAGAGTGTACAACATTTAGTATTTTTAAAACTATGCTTAAGTATGGCTTAAGGAAAATCAAATATGTGATTGACTTGACTTTGTAATATAATGGAGTATGATGTGATATTGTATGTGTTGTATGTATTGTATTGTTTGTGACTTAATATTGTAATTTTGTAACAACATCCTGCCCAGGGACTCACCTATTTTACATTATTACAACACCTCTCTCCCCAGTCTGACATGAGCGGCTCGAATAGTTCCTGAATCAAATGAAAGCCCGCCTTCTGAAATGTGCTGTGATTGGTTAGCTGGGCCAGTGTGTGTTGTGATTGGTTAGCTGGGCCAGCGTTTACAGACTAACTAAAGTTGAAAAAGTGAAAAAGCATAACAGGACCCCTTTAATATTGTAATTTTGTAACAACATCCTGCTAAGGGACTGCAGATGCAAATTAGCTTTATAGCTAACTCTGGCACAACACTGTTGTTGTGCATTGTCCCTGTACAAATAAATGAAATAAACTAAAAAAAAAACTAAAGATTTCATATCACCCATACATAGTTTGGTCCCCATTGACTTTCAATGTATGGAAAAACAAATTATAATTTTTTTTTCAAAATCTCTTCTTTAATGTTCCGCAGAAGAAAGTCAGTCACGAGGGAGAGTGATATAAGAGAGTGAATAATGGCGGAATGTGTGTCTGGGTTCTGTGTCGCGCAGCTGCAGAGTTCAGACGTCTGAATGCATTACTGCCACAAGCTGCCTCTGTCCTCCAGACGCAGGAACCGGAAAGATGAGTCCCGAAAACACAGAGAAGAAAGTCCTTTCATAGAGGAAGAGAGAGATCTGCATGCTAAAACACTCATTAATAGACACTTGATTGAGTCTCGTTTGACTCACACTGAAGTGAAGCTTGATGTGAATCGATTCAGATGAGTTCTTTGTATAAGTCCAGCTGCTTCGGCTTCTGTATGATCACATTCATAGAGATACAGATATTAATGCACAGATGCTGTGTGATGGTCAGATAATCAGATTCAAGTTCAGAGTCACTGTAAGTTAGTCTGATTCAACTGAAGTTCAACTGTTACAGAACTGAATTGAATCAACACTGAATTGATCTGAATATACTCTATTAGCTTGTGTAGAGCTGCTGTGTTATTCTAATATCATTAAAATACTATTATAGATTAATTAATATTTTGAATCAGTTTTTATTTCTTTATTTTCCATTTTAATTTTAGTTTAAGTTTTAGTAATTTTGTGTTTTTATCATTTTTAGTAGTTTTTTTGTCTGTATAGTTTTTAATTTTAGTTATTTAGTACATCAATTTAAACGAAATTGTTTAAATTTGTCTAAAATTAAACTAAACTTAAACTAAAGAAATGTAATTTTTTTTGTTTCAGTTAACATTTATTTTATTTCAATAACAATTTGTAATGGCTTCAAATTTAGCTTATTTTAACTATAATAATTCTAGAGCTGCTTTACAGCTGAATTTGTTTCAAAATTGATGAATTTTGCGACATTAACACTGTTAATAAACTGAATTGATCTGAATAATTGACACTATTGTCTTCTGTCAAGCTGCTTTACAGATTAAATCACAGCTACCTTTTTAATTTTTTATTCCGAGATATAAAACTCAGAATTCAGAGAAAAAATTCAGAATTGTGATGTGCAAGTTATAAGAAATTTTATAAGTTATAAAAGTTTACAATTTGCAATTGTGAGGAAAATAAGTCATAATTGTGAGATGAACTTTTCTGTGGTGTAAACATGCTTCTATATGATACAGATACACTGTTTAGTTTTCTACACACACATAGTGAGATTATACTGCTAATATATGACCCTGGAGCACAAAACCAGTCATAAGGGTCAATTTTTTGAAAATGAGATTTATGCATCATCTGAAGGTTGAATAAATAAGCTTTCCATTGATGTATGGTTTGTTAGGATAGGACAATATTTGTAAATCTGGAATCTGAGGGTGCAAAAAAATCTAAATATTGAGAAAATCATCTTTAAAGTTGTCCAAATGAAGTTCTTAGCAATGCATATTACTAATCAAAAATTAAGTTTTGATATATTTACGGTAGGAAATTTACAAAATATCTTCACGGAACATGATCTTTACTTAATATCCTAATGATTTTTGGCATAAAATAAAAATCTATTATTTTGACCCATACAATGTATTGTTGGCTATTGCTACAAATATACCCCAGCGATTTAACACTGCTTTTGTGCTGCAGGGTCACAAATAAATCTGAATATTTAATATGCACTGGTTGATTTTTTTCTCATTCTGATATTCAAATGTGATTTACCTGTGTTTATTCTCTCGATGACTCTTCTCAATGCATTTCTACAGCGGCAGAATAAAACAGTGAAACTTCATGCATTTCCTCTCTCACAGGACGAGATTCTCACCGTCATACGAAGAGTGGACGATAACTGGGCAGAAGGCATTCTGGGAGATAAGATCGGGATTTTTCCTATCTTATACGTGGAGGTACGTGCACTTGAGTGTGTGTGTGTGTGTTAAAGGCGTTCCTTTAAATATAATGAAGCTGAAGAAAAGCACACTGGACTGCTGCATTATGCTGCTTTAGAGTTTCAAGGTTGAATCACTTACAGATAATTCATTATAAAATACAACAATGAGCCACTTGTGCGGGATTGAGACTCTGAGAAGCAGGTGTGTGTCGTCTCAGAAACCTGCAAGTGATGCATTATGGGTAATGTGTATTGATTTTAAGAGCATGATTGGACAGGAGAGATGTTCTGATGTCCTTTAGCAGGTCAGGGATATTTATCATGAATTAAACATTTGCTGTTTTGATAAATGCATTGTCTGTGTGGTGCACATTTAAAGAATAACAGTATGATGAGAAATGTCCTTAAAAAACAAATATTTTAAAATATTATTTTCACAGCGTTTAAAGGAATAGTTCACCAAAAAAATTAACATTTGATGAAAATGTGAATCTGAGATCAGGATGAGTTTGTTTCTTCATCAGGTTTGTAGAAATGTAGCATTGCATCAGTGTCTCAGCAATGGATGCTCTGCAGTGAATGGGTGCCGTCAGAATGAGAGTCCAAACAGCTGATAAAAACATCACAATAATCCACAAGTAATCCACAGCACTCCAGTCCATCAGTTAACATCTGGAGAAGACAAAAGCTGAAACTAATCCAGCATTAAGACGTTTTTAACTAAAATACATTGAGTCTATAATCCATAATAACGCTTCCTCCAGTGAAAAAGTGCATCTCCTGTTGTCTCTCACATCAAAATCCAGCCACATAATTGTTTAGAGCTGTTTAAACGCTGCTTGATCTGTGCAGATTTCTCTCCTGATTCACACCAGAACACTTTTTCACTGGAGGAAGAGTTATTGTGTAGTTAAAAACGTCTTGATGCTGGATTTGTTTCAGCTTTTGTCTTCTCCAGATGTTAACTGATGGACTGGAGTGCTGTGGATTACTTGTGGATTATTGTGATGTTTTTATCAGTTGTTTGGACTCTAATTCTGACGGCACCCATTCACTTGCAGTGAGACACTGATGCAATGCTACATTTCTACAAACCTGATGAAAAAACAAACTCATCCTGATCTTGGATGACCTGAGGATGAGCACATTTTTATCTTTGGGTGAGCTATTCCTTTAATCGTTCACTCTCTGATCATTAGCTGCTGCCGGTGCTTTATTTCTTCTGAACCTCATCAGCTGAACTTTGCTCATTTGGCTCATAATTCATGGATTTCTGTCAGATTGATTAGTGCAGGAGCTCGATCTCCTCTGCCTCCGCGATCACCGGATGAAAATGGGAAAATAAATGATGTTTATCATTTTTCTCCTCTTCACCTCATTTAAAATCTGTCCTCGTGGCTCACGCTGGGATGAGGCTCAATCACGCTCACGTTTTAATGATGTAAATGGTGTAATCGAGCTCCTTGGCTTGATCTGATCTGGTATCTCTCCATTGGTGTTTTATTGTGCAGTAAAGTGTGGCGTGGAGCACTGCAGGGAATGCTGGGATATGACTGGAGCTTGATCAATCAATCAAAAGAAAAAAAATAAAGAAAGAAAATGCATTAAGAATATGACGCTGAAAATAGGAAAAAATGTATTTTATAATTTATTATGATAATTTGTTTGTTAATGTGTCTATTTGTTTATCTTTGCAGTACAGTGATGAGAATGTTAACACTGCAATGCAAATTTTCCTAAAACCAGCTTCATTTTTTATTCAATTCTTTGGATGTTCTGCAGGTTTTGTGATGATAGCGTGTCTGTCTGCCGCAAACACTCATTTAAATGCCGAAGTGAACAAAGCAGGATCTGAGATTTCCGTGTTGAGATCACGGTGAAGAGAAAGATGCTCACAGTCACAGATGCGTTGCTTACAGCTTCATAAAATACACACAGACACGCACACACACACTTATACACACACTAACACTCAAACACACATTCACACTCACACGCACTCCCATACACACGTGCACTTATATACACACACACACTCACGCACTCATACTCACACACACTTATGCACACTCACACGTGCACTTATACACACTTATACACACACACACGCACACATACTCACACACACTTATACACTCATACGTGCACTTATACACACACACACACTTATGCACGCTCACGCACTCATACTCACACACACTCCCATACATGCACACTCACACACACTTATACACACACATGCACACTTACATGCACTTATACACACATTCGCACACTCACGCACTCATACTCACACACTTATACACACTCACACGTGCACTTATACACACACATGCACACTCACGTGCACTTATACACACACACACACACACACTCCCATACATACATACACACACTCACATGCGCACTTTTATACACACTCAAACACATGCACACTCACGTGCAATTATACAAACTCACACAGATGCGCACACATACTGTATATACACACACTCACTTGCACTTATACACTCACACTTATACACACACATGCACACTTACGTGCACATATACACACACACATACTCACATGCACTTGTACACACACACATGCATACTCATGCGCACTTATACACTCTCACACACTTATAACACACACGCACACTTATACACTCACATATACACACTCTCACACATACACACACACTTATACACACTCTCACATGCTCTTATACACACACACACACGTGCACTCATACACAGATTCACATGAAGTCTACATGTTAAAACAGACTTGACACAATAGCTGTTGATAGCGCAGGCTTTATTCCCTCAGATCGTGCTCGTGCGGCTCACGCTATGAGTTATTTCTATACGTGTCTGACAGCCTGTCATTATTCCGCTGCGCATTTGCCGCTTTGTGATTTTCTTTTTGTCGTCTTCCCATGCTGTAATTACACCGCAGTGATGGGCTCTATTATTAGCACAATTAGCAGCACCCTGCACGCGGCGAGGCGTCTGAACTCTCACTTCCCCGCGCAACTGAAGCCAGAGCTTGACCTATATTAACAACATTTCAAAGTTCACGGCTGTGCTAATGAGCTCCCGCGCGCCGGGATCCTAACGAACCGGTGAACGGGAGTAACGTGACCTGCCAGAAACAACAATCACGTAACTAATCACACGATCATTATGGTTATTTCCACAAATACACGTGTGATGTCAGTGCTTGTTATTTCCTGGTCTTTGTCTCAAACTGATTGTGATGTCAGATCCGTTGTAACGTGTCCGCACGCGCATTATGCATGCAATTAATTTGCTCTGACCACCTCATGTCAGAGTAATAATATTATGACCTCCAGAAGGCCTCGGTGTTCGTCCGCAGAGACCCGCGCCACGTCTGTGGGGTCCATCAATCAGCCTCATTTGCATGCTATTTGCATATTATTAGCATATTTATGAATGCAGGACTGTGAGTTGAAACAAAGGGCTCCAGTCACTTTTGATCTATTTGTTCGCTGCACACCGTCACGTCTGCTTTTGTTTGTGTTTCTATTCATCAAAACATCAGTTTAGTCAGTTTACATAAAAACATTTGCATACTGCTTTCATTATTATAGTAGGACAATCTGTCAAAATGATTTCTGTTGTTTTAAGGGAAGCAAAACATCACAGAATTCATCAAATCCAGTGATACCTACTGATGTCAGTTTCCCACCAAAATGATGTCACTTCCTGCCGGATGATGCCATTGGCTTTAGTTAGTCATAGTTTTGACATTGAGGACTCAGGGAAGAGCTGTAAATTCATTATCAATTAAAGCAATGTTATTAAGTTTGATTGGAGAAAATGAAGAAACAACTGTACACATGGAAACTCAAAGCTCTTCACTACAACCCGCCAAAATAAAAGTTTGCTTTAACTTGAAGAAATTGTAGCAGAAATATATTACTATTGTATTATATTATACATTACTTAAACTTACTTATATTACTTATATATTACTTAAAATCATGAATTCTGTAATAATATTACATAGTAATAATAATATTAATACAACTTTATTTTCTAAATAATATCACATTACTTTTCTTTCGTGTTTTAATTTTAACAGTAAATTAATAAATTACAATATGTTTTAATAAGTTGTTAAAGCTTTTTTAATTCAATTGATTAGACATGCCTTTTGATTATTAAAACAGAATTCAGATTTTTGGGAAAAATAAACTGGATTTTATAGGGTCCTAAAAAATTTAATTTTTTATTACACTTTTAATAAATTGTTGAGAAATGGTATATTTCAAGATTGCATTTAATTAGACATGCTTTTTGATGACTAAAATTGAATTGAACCATTAAAATGGAATCTAGAAAAATTTAAATGGAAAAAAAATGAATTTGGGGAAAAAAATGAATTTGGGAAAATATAACATGGAATATCTGAAACAGAATTTGGTTACAAATTTGGAAAATATGAAACAGAATTTGGGGGGGAAAATTAAACATAATTTGAGAAGAGATAAAACATAATGTAGAAAACTCTTTGTTTTTTTTTGTTTTGTTTTTTTTAAATGGAATTTGTGAAAAAATAAAACAATTTAAGAAAAAAAAGATGTGGTAAAAAATGTGTGTGTGTGAGTGTGTGTGTGTGTGTGTGTGTGTGTGTGTGTGTGTGTGTGTGTGTGTGTGTGTGAGTGTGTGTGTGTCTGCAGCAGGACTCGTGCGTTTCAGCTTCTCAGCAAGGCTGCATTTATTTGATCAAAAATACTGTAAGATTGTGAAATATTATTATAATTTCAAACAGCTGTTTTCTATGTGAATATCTGTTCAACTGTAATTTATCAATGTTGAAAACAGTAATATTTTTGTGGAAACGGTGATACATTTTATTTTTCAGGATTCACAGATGAACAGAAAGTTCAAAAGAACAACATTTATTTGAAATAGAAATCTTTTGTAACATTATAAATGTCTTTACTGTCACTTTTGATCAATTTAATGCAGCCTTGAAGTATTAATTTCTTTTGAGTGTATCACAGTTTCCGCAAAAATATTGGGCAGCACAACTGAGCAGAAGAGACTGATGTAAGTGTAAAATAATAACTGTGTGGATTCCTGTGTTTGTCCTCAGCTGAATGAAACGGCGAAGCAGCTGATGGAGATGGACAAACCGTCCGCGGCCCCGGGTCCGAGCGCAGAGTCTCCCGCCGCCGTCAGCTGTAACGGGAACGCCGTGCACAGATACGCCGAGGGGAAGAAGAACGCCAAGAAGCGGCACTCGTTCACGGCGCTCAGCGTGACGCAGCGCTCGGCGCAGGTGCTGGGAAGTAACCGGCACTCGATGGAGATCAGCGCACCTGTGCTCATCAGCTCCTCGGACCCCCGCGCCGCCGCTCGCATCACAGACTGCCCACACCTGTCCTCCAGCGCACCGGCCACACAGGTACAGACAAAGATCTTATGAAGACAATGAAGCAGACACTTACATTAGAGTACATTTTAAAATATTGATTAAATTGTTAGTGTTTTTTGCCTTCATTGTACTTGATTACTGATAATAAATTTGCATTCAATCATAAATCCAGAAAAATGTAACGAAAAATATTTCATAAATAATAAATTATAAAGTTCAGGTAATGAATTAATTTGCTTTTTGATTATTAGAAGTTAATTCAAACAGAATCCAGAAAAATTAAAACACAGAATTTAGGAAAAAATAAAACAGAATGTGGGAAAAAATCAAATGAATTTCATGGAGCCTTAAAAGATGCAAGTTTTGTCAAACATCATTGAATAAATTGTTGCTAAATTGAATAAAGTTTCACGATTGCAACTAATTAGGTATGTTAAACTGAACTAAAATTTTATTTAACCATTAAAATGGAATGTAGAACAATTAAAACACAAAAAACACAAATCCAGAACAATTAAAATGGAATCCAGAAAAATTTAAACAGAAAAAAGTTAATTAAAAAACAGAATTTGGGAAGAAGCTAAATTTATTTAATAGGGCCCTAAAAATGCAATTTTTGTTCAACTATTTTTAAATTGTTACATTTTATAAGTTTCATGGCTGTAATTACTTAGGTATGCTTTTTGAATTCTGAAATTTAATTTAAGAATTAAAACAGAATTCAGAAAAATTCAAACAGAATAATTTTTTTTTTATAATAATTAAATAATTAATAATTAAAATGGAAAAAAAAATGAATTCTGTCTGAACAATCTCAACTCTGTTTGTCTTTAGTTTTGAACTGCCGTCAGACTGATTCATTCATTCATTCATTCATTCGCTGCAGTGGTAAAGATGAGTCTGTATGTTATTTGGTTTGTTGTGTTTGTTATTACGGTTGTTTCTGTGTGTTGCTGTTCGACTCTTCACCCTCTCCTGCGTCTCTAATGTATCTGAACGGCTCCTGAGGGCCTGATGTCTCCAGTCAGATCCTGTTGTTGTGATTTTAAAATCTTTTAGTGGCCCATGAAAGATTGGACTAGTTTCACGAGTCGTCCTCGTCTGGTGACTATGAGTGTGTTCAGATGATTTGATAACAAGTTTGATTCATTTACGTGATTCAGTTTAAACTGTCCTTTTAAGTCAATCAAATCAAATGCATCTGCCTTGATTATTTGAACTTGAATTTTACTGTATTTTTCTTCATTTATGAAACATGTTGAATCTATTTGACGATCATGAATGATTGATTCAGATCACCTTGTCAGAGTAAATGCGGAGTTATGGCTATATATATATATATATTAGAGTTATAGGCCTCTTGACCTCTGACCTGGGCTCAGCTGGTTGGTTCCAGTAAGAGCGTTGAGCTCCATTAGTGTTCTGAGGTCAAAGGTCAACATGAGAACCCGTGAGGGTGAATCTCTGGAGTTTTGCCTGAGTGAAACAGACGGATCATGTGCATTTACAACTCCCATAATGCATCCTGTCCTCAGCTGCAGGAGCCCATTAGAGACACGCTCAGAACGATCAGTTCAGTTTAAAGGTGAAGTGTGTCACGTGATATTTGGAATGGAATGTATTATTTGTTTTGTTTATTCCATATATACATATA